TGATATTTTCAGAGGCTTGAGATTTCTAGCTGTGCGTGCCTTTTTCCAGCTTCACTACTTTGTGTATCTTGTTTGGTACATCAAGTTTCAGGTGCTTTCTTTGGTTAAAACTTTGCCCAGAGAATGAAAGCATCACTGATCACATCAGGTCTTTTTCTGCTATAGATTCAACAAGCTGTGAGCAGTGGCCTTGGAGCTGGCTGCCTACAGGTTGGGTGGGAGGATAGTATTAGCTACCATTACGAATTCTGCTTTGTACAGGAAGGCTTCCATGTGGCTGTGCTAAATAAAAGCCTGGTGTTCATATAATGAGGTTTCCCCTTCTTACTAGTTCACCAAGAAAAGTAACTTCCCTTGTTAAAGGCAAGTAAGCAAATTAATTTTTCAAGGCCTGGCATGTGGATTATATTACACTCTTGAAACTAGCTGATGCTTTGCTCTGACAAGTTTGGACTATTGTGTGATTCCCAGGGCACTAGGAAGATTAAAAGATCTTGCCTTCTGCTTTGTTTTTTAACTTGGTTTGATTTTTTTTTTTCCCCCACCATGCTAAAATGATAGTGAAAAATAAGGACATTTAATTAAAAAGTTTGCCAACATGAAATATATATTCTACCACCAGAGGCGGAGATAGGGGAGCTGAAAAACACAGACTTTCTGAATGAATGAGTCACCATGACAACACAAATTAAAATGTTGCCTTTCTTCTCTGGTTTCAGACAACGGTTCCCAAATCTCCTCCTAGATAAGAGTGAGCTTGTCCTGGGCAAACTTGTTTTCAGCATTATTAAATTCCTTGTTGTCAGGTCTGCTGGTACGGCTCTGGGGCCGAAGAGCTGGGGAACAGGGAGTTAGTAATTGTACCTGCATCTCTGTACTGTTCCTGAGTTAGGGCCTGCTTCCCTGAAACATATCTTAAAGGTGGGAAAGATTCTTATTCAGAAAGGGACTGGAAATAACACACACTACTACTATTCATTGGCATGATCTGCTTACAGTTTCTGTGAGATTAAAAAGATGAGCCTCATGCTAGAAGTAGCTCCAAGAAAACTGCATGACTGAGCTTTGTTTGTGCCAAAACATAGCAATGTCTTAGCCTTGAGGTCTCTCTTTAAGCTACTTGCAGAGCTATAAAATTAATGTAGCAGGCTTTGCCCTAAGAGTGGATGAGGAGCATGCTCATGAAACAGCATCTACTGGCTCAGCTCTAATAGTAATGCTCAGCAAAGCATGTGGGAAGCAGCATAACCGTATTTTTGCAGTGAATGCTTGACACCCAGGATTATTGCAGTCACTATGCAGAGCCTCGAAAAACCAAGTTTGACTTAGATCAAGCCTGGACAATGCCCTACAATCCATGTGCTGGGAAACATATGTTTTGTGTTTGGGCATTTTTAAATGCTATGTCACAGAATCATAGAATAAGTTAGATTAAAAGAGACTTTTGTATGTCATCTAGTCCAACCTCCTGCTCATAGCAAAGCTAACTTCAAAGTTAGATCAAATAGCTCAATTCAAAATTCAGCTGACTTTTTAAAATATCTAAGGATAGAGCCATGACAACCCCATTGGATAGCCTAACCAGTCTCACTATTATCGCTCTGTTACAATAATGAGGAGCATCCTCACAGGTGGGTCACTCACAGGTGGCCACTCACATCTATATTTCGGTTAGTATGTCCTCAGATGACTATGTTACAGAGCGGATGAGATCACTCTCAAAAAGAAAAAAAAAAGTAAGTAAAATAAGAAAAGTTAGATACTACAGGGAAACAATTGTCATTTAGAACCATGTAATTTTTAACTTAGTCTAAATTCAACCTTGTGCTAGGGTCTGTGCTGAAGCATGTTTAAAGGAGATCCTGTTCCAAAGAGTTTCCCATCTAATGAGACCCAGGCACACCCAGGCTCTTTTTAAGCTTGGCAACTAGTTCCATCACATGCTGGGATTTGCAGAGGAGCTAGGAATTCCCCTTAGCTGTCCCCAATTTCCAGTGGGATGCTTTTCATCACATGGTCATCCTTCTGCCCGGAAGGGATGGGGACAAAGGTCCCACCCTTCTTATTTTCTGCTCTCAGCACTAGTTCAAGTCTTAGGAGTTATTTTCTCAAAAGAAGAAATGTATGCCTTTCTTAGGTACAGACTCAAGTCCTTGAACAGATGGAAAAAACTTAAATTCTTCTGCTGTCTCAACAGGAGAGTGCCTGCAAATTACCTAATCTCACATAGTGACTGTAGCTTTAAAGAATGTTCGTCATTAACGCTGCATTTTCTATGTTAAAGCATACCGAGACCACTAGCTTATTCTATAGTGCCCTAAAGAACTGTCAGGTAAATTGGACTAATAACCAGGGAGAGAATGCCTTGGTTTTATTTCAGCCTAGTTTACCTGACTTCATGCAAATGACTAAGCATGCTTCATAATTTAATAACTGCAATATTGATCTAGACAGCTTTCAAAAAAAAAGCCACCCTGCCTAATTATGTTAACTGGTAAGCCTTGAGGGGTCTAGCGGGTATGTAACATGCAATTAAATACTACCTAATTAAGAATTTCCCTGATGTTCCGATAGTCTCTTGAGTAAATGCTATTTGCATGTCTCCGTTCTCATCGAAGAACATCTTGTATTTTACTGATGAGCAGTTTCTGCCTGGTCTCCATGGTACAATGTGGGAGAAGGGAAAGTGGGGGCTGGGGGTGGTGAAGCATTTTGTAGGATTTCATGAACAATTAAAAAAAATTAATAAAAATCTGTTTAAGCAGTGTCTGAAGTTATGACAAAGTCTAGGCTACTCGGGGTGAGTGCTCTGCAGATGTGCTAGGCTACTGCAGTGAAGCAAGAGCTCTGTCTTCTCATAAGACATGTACATTGTGGTAACTTGGCAGAGCAGTATGAGCCATAAGCAGATGCGTCACTTCTGTTGATTTCCTGACTGGACTTCACTCATGTCACATCTTCATTGGTTAAGTCTCTTCTCGAGCAACTGGTTTTGTATTAAGTTAGACCATGGATAGACATTTTACGTCAGTGAATGTAGCAGGATGTCAGTAGATTTTTTTTTTTTTAGTGTCTTAATGCTCCTATCTGCATACAGCTTTCCTGTGCCCACTGAATAATTCAGCCTTTTGCTACTTACTCATTTCCCAATGGGAGTGTGTTGGGGGAGTGTGCTTCAGAGGGCTTTTGGTGGTGGTTTTTTTTTATACCGAAGTCCGTTATAAATGCCAACTGGAGCCTTTCTCACAGCTATAAAAAATGGAAGAGTGCCTGTTGTCCATGGATCCGATATGTTCAGGCTTCAGCTTTTCTTTTATGAAGCTGCTAATAGAGCCTGTCTTCCATATTCTTGTTTTCACAGATGTTTAGAGAGTGAGTATGAGTGATCTCCCTTTGAGATTGGCCAACAGGCTCAAAAGCGAGTGAGTACATGGATATAGGTATAGAAAAGGACGGAAGTGGTATGTTCTTGTTACCGCTTGCTGTCTTAATAAACATGTAGAGTATGTCTCCTTGGTTACAGAAATGTCAAGTGCTGGTGAAGAGAATTCTTGTGTTACTTTTAACAGTAAGATGCTTTCTTCTTGGATTTGTCCCCTTCAGCACAAGGATCAAGATCATTAAGGACATTTGCAAAGTACAGAATCTGTGACAACATTATCTTATTGCTACTTAGGCTGCTCTTGGCATTTGGGCCCTGGTAGCTTCACTGTGAATGGAGAGAGCTGTATACTATGGCAGGATCGGGTTCTCAGGTTCCTAGAAGATGTCTTCAGGTTGTTAATATTGCAGTGAGGTTGAATCACTGCTCTGAACAAACTAGTAGGAGGTAAAAGGAGGATTTACAGAGGACTGGAGTGAAATTGCTGGGAGCTACAGGCATGACTATCCATTGACTTCTTGGTGATGGGCTGCCAGATTGGTCATGTATAAACTGTGCTAGTATAGTGTGAATCAGATTGCCTGGCTTTCTGTACAAACTATTCTGGAGTTCCAAATCAGTAACCCATTTAGAAAAGACTTAAGTGGGCCCTGAATCAACTGTCAACAGAGATGACAACACTAATGAATGACTACAGCGTAGCACCACAGGAAATACTCAGCAACAGACACAGAGAAAATTGGTTTTGTGTCTTCACTGTCCCAGTTGCTACGCCAGCTTTCTGCAATGGTTCGTGGATCCAGGGCACTCTTCCACCTGTCCCTCGGACACAAGATGGTGTCATTTCCACGATCCTCCCAGAGTTCTCACAACTTGCTGACCTGTCTTCCTCTCTGTTTTTTTTTTCATAGGCCATCATTCTGGTACACTGGCTGCTCACAGTGTGGTGAGTGATTGGTAACTGGCCTGGCCTGGGTGAGAAGAGGGTATTCCTTCAAAGTAGGAATGGGACATTCTCGGCGAATCAGCACTCCCTATTTGTGCCTCTCTGTGTGCAAGAAGATCCTAAATCTAAGAGTGAGGTGTTTGTATGGGAACAAGAATGAATGCAAACAAACTGTTGCATGCTTATTCTGAATGTGGGCTGGGGTTTTTTGTCTTGTTTGGCAGGGGATGCATGAATTACATCTTTCCAGCCTCCTATGCCTGGGGAAATTTCAGTGTCCTTGCAGTGGGGATCTGGGCCATTGTGCAGCGAGATTCCCTTGATGCCATCATGATGGTGAGTTTGAGGCTGCTCAGGGCCAGGGTGGAGGACAGCTTCTTTGAATCAGTGATGATTTTCAGCTGTTCCTAATACAGCAGTGAACAAGTCAAATTCCCTGTTTGGTGGTTTGTTGTGGTTTTTTTTTTTTTTTTTAAGAGACTATAAATCTATAAGCACTGTAAACTATGGTGAGAAGCATTCACTATCACTTATTTTGCTTCTCAGAGGTGAGGCATACTTGATTCTTACAAGTCACAACAGCAGGTAAAAAAAGTAATGCCAGAGGAGGACTCAAAGTGTTTAATATGCATGAGTTGGAGGGGCTTTATAAAACCCTTCTCTGAACATTAAAGAGAATGGCAAGCAAAAATAAACAATCGTGGAGCGTATCATGAGAAGTTATCTGACAGATATGAAGAAAATGCACAAAATACAAGATAATTAATTTAGGACTCTCTGTCTACCTGGAGTACTGTCAGAGGTTAGCAATGTGTGATACTGGGGTGAAGGCATGATTGTGTGAACACAGATCTCACAGGAAACAGATGCTGTGACTGACTGTTACTCCTAGTGGTTAATCCCCTACTCAGTTCATGTCCCATTCTTTGTTTCCAGTTCCTGACTGGCCTGCTCCTCACAGTCCTCACGGACATCATTCACGTCTCTGTCTTCTACCCTCCAAACAACCATCTCACTGATGTGAAGCGTTTCAGTATAGGCATGGCCATCTTCAGCCTCCTCCTCAAACCTGTGTCCTGCTATTTGGTGTATCGAATGTATCGCGAGCGTGGAGGAGAGTACAGCTTTAACATAGGTAGGATGCTTCCTCTGCCTCCACATCAGTGTGGGCCACCTGCCCTGGTGTTAGGGAGACCGCCTTGCACTTTGGGCTCTTCAGCCTAAGCTCTGTGCTTCTGGATTCTGCCTCCCTTTCTGGGGGGGGCGGTGCTCTCTCTCTCTGGCTTATGTCTGTTCTCCCATTTTGTGGTTCTGGTGTGTCTTAGGCCTCAAATTTACATTCTTCCTCTCTTCCCTTGCAGACCTGGAGTCCTCGTCTGACAGCCATTTTGCCCACAATGGTATTGATACCACTGCTGTCTCCCTTATTCAATGTAACTGAGCTGCTTTTCCTCTCCTCCTCCTCCTGCATTTGTGTGTGCTTGTTGGAAGGCTTTGGGTATCATTCTGTCTTTGACAGCCCTTTCTCTTCCTTCTGGGGGAAAGTAGAGGCAGCATCCACTCTAGCTGGATTATGCATGAGAGCGAAAGAAGCTGGATTTCTAACTCCATGCTTTCTCTGGGCCTCACAGGTCCTAGTTACCTTGATTGCTTTGGATCTCCATTTCTTCACCTGGAAAATGGGACTGACGTTTACCTCATGAGACTTTGCCTGGAGGCACTCGTTTTTCTCCTGGTCGTACTTGCTAATGATGATGTCGCAGCCTTGCCAGAGTGAAGGGGCTGTGGCTAGATATTCTGGGGTCTCAGTTAGCTTCTTTGCCAAGCATGCCTGCTTCCTAGTTCACACCAGGGTAGCTGCCAGGGATTGGTTGCTGTGTGGGAGTTCACCCTGGCAAACCCAGCAGCCTGGCACAGTTATCTTTTTGCCTTGCTAAGAAGGCTGTGCAGGACAGAGGGTGGTATAACTGCATTACAGTGTTTGAAAGCTGTCACTTGTGCTGCTTTGGTGGTAGGTGGATACTTGTGGAAGCAGAGGCCATGGAAGGAAACCATGGCTTTGGGGCGCTATGTGCAATTTGCATCTCTCTGCTATTGGAATGTGGATGTCTTCTCCATCAGCTAAATATCTTCTCCATTGTGCAAATGACAGACAGATCTGTCTTAACTGGGTGAGGAGGCCCGAGAGTCAACTGCAGTGCCTTGCTGTGTGCCATGTTTGTGCTAATTTTTATTAGCTTGTCACTGTGCTTGTAACTGAGATTTGATATTTGTATTCCATGGGAAGTGTAGGTATCATTGAGGAGTTCATCCCTTTGCATGGAATTTGGGAGCACTCCTTCTTTTCAACCACACTATCCCAACACAGGCATGATACTGTCTGAGAGACTCCTCTCAGACAGATTGGAATTCAGACATTTTGTGGCTTCATATCCTCTCCTGAACTGTCTTTCTCACCAGATTTTCAGTACAGACTGTGTGCTGCTGTTCTGTTGAATGTGGTTGACAAATTTCCTCTCATTTTCTTGCTGTCTGGCATCTTCCTTTTGAGCCTAAAAGTGTTGCATTTTTCCTGGTCTTTGTCTCATTTTCTTTCCACACAAAATCCCTTTTTGTTGCTTGGCAGCATCCTTTCTGCATAGAACAAATCTCTCATATGGTTTGGTGTCCACCTTTGATTCAAACTGCTTCCTAGCCATGGCAGATGCTGGGCCTATGGATAAAAAGCTGGCCATGCACATTCTTTGTCTCTCTCTGTCCTCTCCTTTCCCTGCTCACCCCCTGGACAGTAATATGCTTTTGTACCAGTCTTGTACACAGGCAAATTATTCATAATGCAGTTGGGAGCACTGCTGGATTCAAATTTAGTGTCATGGTGTGGCACAATTGAGGCACAGCTGCATTGTTAGGAAGAGTGGTTCATGGATGAATCATGCTCTTAAGTCTATGCTGTCAGCTAGCCAAGCTTCCTCCTGCTTCTGTTTTCGTCTGTTCATTTTTACGCTAGATCTCATAAACTTGATCTTGCTGAAGTACTCTATTATAGGAGCCTGTTACGCTGCTACGTAGTGTTGCAGGTCTTGCTTTTCACGCAGCCATGTGGCTACTAAGCAAGCGGTTCTCAGGGAATGAAGAGGCATGTTCAAATGCATCTGTTATTTTACCTTTGTTGGAAGGATGAGTTTTCTTACCTCCTGCCTGTGTAGTAAGGATCACAGAACACAGGTGCTGGGGAGCTGGTAGAGCTGCTAATGTGGTGTGCTCCTGAGCTGTTGGTTTCTCCTAGGGGATTCAGTTCTTGTGCTTTTGGTTTGTTCCCAAGCTTGTTCTCTTCCATCTCCATTCAGGTGTCACCCGTTCAGGCCAGGATCGCAGCACCTATGAGCAAATTGATCAGCAGGATGCCCCTCCACAGTGGCCTGACTTGAGCAAGTCAGCACAGCAGCCGTACTGAGGCCCCGTCTGCAACAGAGAATGGACGCATCCCTCGCCCAGTCTAGCCTTCCGCTCTT